AACACAATCGATCTAGCCTTCTCCAACATTGCTCTGGCAGCCGCCGTCGTCGAAGATCACCTTGCCACTAGCTCTGACCATTTCACCCTCTGCCTCACGCTGCCGGATATTACCCTCACCCTCCCACAAGTGCCAGGCAAGATCCGGGTCACCACCGAAGACGAACTGCGGCGCTTTAGGGAACTCGTTCTGACGGGAATATGGCGAATACCACAAGGCAATGCAACAGCCCTGGAGCTAGACAATCTGGCCGCGGCATTGGTTGACCTTCTTCAGTCGGCAGCCACTGCCGCCGGACGCCCAGTCAGGAAAGGGACCCGGAGTGCGCCATGGTGGACCGAGGAATGTGCCGGCGCAGCTGCGGAGTACCGGGCCATCAGGAGGATTTTCCCACTGGGCTTCAATCGGGACATTCAACTTGCAAGAAAAGAGTTCCAACGTGTAGTTCGCCGCGCCAAGCGTCAGTACTGGCGCAACCTCATCGACGGATTTTCAGACAGCGCATCAGTCTTTAAGGCAGTCCGATGGCTCAAGGCCCCGGGAGCCTTCCAACCACCACCGCTCCAGGTGGGTGACATTGTGTACGAAACTCAAATCGACAAAGCAAACGCTCTGAGACGCTGCACGCTGGAGCGCCGCACAGCAGCAGATGACATTCCAGATCCATGGATTCCAGTCAGTCCATCTCGTGCGATACCCTTTGGCCAAGAAATCACACTCCAGGAAGTGGAGGATGCTACTATCAAGACGGGGAACACGTCACCCGGAGCTGACAACATCACGGTCAAGCTGCTACAAGCAGTATGGGACATCATAGGAGACCACGTCCAACGCCTCTACGAGGGTTGCCTGGCGGCAGGCCACCACCCGAAAACCTTTCGAGGAAGCAGAAGTAGTCATGATCCCTAAATCGGGGAGAAGAAACCTCTCAAAGCCCAGGGCGTGGCGCCCCATCTCACTCCTCTCCTGTCTTGGCAAGGGTCTCGAGCGTCTTATCGCTCGCCGTCTAGCATGGGCTTCGATAAACTACGGAGTCCTCCACCCGCAGCAGGCTGGGGCTCTCCCAAAAAGATCGGCTGTTGACTTGGTCGCAGCAGTGGTTCACGACATCGAAGAGACACTCGCACGTGGACAGGTGGCCACACTGGTCACTGCCGACATTCAAGGAGCGTTCGACTCGGCTCTCTGCAACCGCCTCGTTTTGCGACTCCGTCAACAGGGCTGGCCCGACAATCTTGCACGATGGGCAGGCTCGTTCATGAGCGGCCGTTCCGCCAGGGTAAGATATCAGGACATCACCACACCGACGACGCCACTGCAGTGTGGCCTTCCACAAGGGTCGCCCGTATCCCCGATCTTGTTTCTGTTGTACACGGAGCCGGTCTATCGCTTGGGCGAACCCGAGCGACGGTTCGGCTACGCGGACGATACAGCAATTCTCTGCACAGGGGACACTGTGGGAGAGACAGCCAGAAAAGCGTCGGCGTATATTCAAGAGCTCGTGGATTGGGGCGCCGCCAACGTTTCATTTGACCCGGACAAAACAGAAGTTATGCATTTTTCATTGAAGACACGAGAAGCCAGGCCGCCCATCCGGCATGGCGACGCGGTAAAGCACCCGGAAAAGGCCATGCGCTGGCTGGGAATCTGGCTTGACAGCAAACTAACATTCAAGACCCATGTTGAGAAGTGGACAGCCACGGCTCAGGCTGTGGCCTGTCACCTGCGGAGCTTAGGCAATACACGACGTGGTCCCTTGCCGAGCGCTCTACAAAGGGCTGTTAGAGCCTGTGTCGAACCAGTCCTGCTGTTTGGAACGGAAGCCTGGTACCCGGGCACACGGAGCCCGCGCTGGAGACAGCCAGCGAAAGAAAGATCGTCCCGAATCCAACAGCTTGTGAAGAAAATGACCAAGGCTATCAAACAAGCCATCCGCGCTATTCTCCCGACTTGGAAGACGACACCAACCACAATTCTGCACCGGGAAAGCGGCATACCGCCGATTCTTCAACTGCTCGAGGCGAAACGACTGCGTTTCTCTGCCCGTATCAAGCAAGTCCTTGGATAAAGAACATCCTCTAGCAAAACGCACCGCCGAGGTGACGCCACCGCCTATTATCAAAAGTATTAAGTTGAGGTACCAGCGTCCACCCAAAACCTTCCCAACTCGACTCCGAAGAACCGACAGGCTGCTCGCAAATTGCCAACGGCCTGCACTGCTCCCGCGTAGATACCACTCCGAGACACAGCAGCCGCTACAGACTGCATCCAAAGAAGACTCCGCCGAGAACTTCGACAAGTGGCTCCAATCCCTCCCCCCGTCCACACTAGTTGTATACACAGACGGCTCACTGTCCGAGAAGGGCGCTGCCAGATACGGCTATGCCGTTCACCAACGTGACCACTCTATTTGTCAAGGCGCAGGACGCCTCGGCCCTGCCGAGGTGTTTGATGCTGAGGCCAGAGGAGCTCTGGAAGGCCTGAAGGCCGCGCTGAG